ATTCGTGCCTGTCCCAACGCTGCAGTTCCAAAGTGACTCCAACTCCAACTTATGGCCAAAACTATGAACTACAGTGTACAATACAGTAATGTGTTTTCTCAGTCTTATAATATGTATTCCCTCATACAAAAAGGAACGTTTTAACGTTACACATGATAGGTACAAGTCTTATATTATTATGGTCCCTCCTCAAGCTAGTAGGATTCCAACTTAATTTTACTGCAAAGGCAAATATGTGTTATATGTCAACAATGCTCAGTGCAGTCACACTGTGCAGGTGCATTGGTCATTGTTAGATGCTGATATGCCTTCAACTGTGTGACTACTTAATAGCTATAAATTTTACAATGATTTCATCTCATAATCCCTGTTTGAAAACAGATTTTAGGATTACAGAAATCATCAATAAAAAATTTATCTTAAAGTATGAAATCACAAAACTATGTGAATAAAGAACAACAATGCTACCCTCGTAGCCAAATCTATTTCCTCGCAATGCTGTACAAAAGGAAAAACTGAAGCTGTGTAACATACACACACATCTTTCTAGTGACATTTCTGAGTCACCAAGAAGTAGTTAAAACTGTCACCAGCAAAAAATTGAAAAGAAAATGCAAAAAGTTGGATTTTCCTCCCAACTGCTAAGAGTGTGGATCATTTGTCGTAAACTTCTTACAAGCAATCAACATAAATAATATTGCACTGAATTCACAGATGCACAAAAACAGTCTTTAAATGTTGTATATAAATATAATGTGTAAAAACTGTAAATATAACAAAACTGAAATATTGTTACTATTTTAATAATAAAAAAATATGGCAGTCTTCAGAGAATATACTGTCAGTGCAGAATTTGAATGAAATGAGACGAGTCAGTACATTGTCCCATTCCAACCAACAGAACATGGTTGTTGTTGCAGTGAGGTAGTGAAGTGTTTGGTTTGTGTTGAAAGTGTATTATGTGTTTTGGAAGCAGGACTTGCATGCTTCAAAGTATATCACTGTCTTAATGTGATACTGACTGCCGTGAAATCCTACCAGAAAACTCTTGTTTGTATTATTTAACCCACAACGGCTTCTACATCTGTGAAAGGGCTGAAGAGGTATCAGGCAGATTTCTTACCTTCCACATTGCCTGTGTTGGACCCTGTCTTGTCCAATCAATAAGAGCATTTGTTTACAGTACATTAGGTAACTTCTTCACTTCCACACACTTTAAAAATAGAATGGGAAGGCAGAAATAACCCAGACAAAGTGATGAAGATCAAAAACTGATGCCTGAGTTGTCTCTTACAAAAGACATCTTTATACTCTCCCCAATACAAATCCAGCTTGCATTGCTGCATGGATGTACTAATTTCTTCCAACTTCATAACATTTTCATGTTAACTTTATGCCTCCTGTCTCGTGTGAATGAAATAACAAATAAAAGTTTAAGCAGTAAACCTTCGTGAGTTTCTGGAAACAAGATGTAAAACCAATGTGGTCCAAGTCAAATCTTAATAATTCACAATTTGCCTAAGCAATAGACAGAAATTTGGTTTGAACTGAATTATTTTGGCAAGAGTTTTCATATCTTTGGGCAGATGGATAAAACTATGGTATTGCATATAAGCATCATTGGAGACATAAAAGGAACATGCGCTTGAAAGATTTTAATAACTCCTATTCAGATGCATGCAAATTCTGCTTCAATTAGCAATGTATACACATCCCTGTTTCAGTCCCTTTCTCCTGTCTCCATAGACGCATTATGTGACTCATCAGAGGTACAGTGTTCCCGAATGTCATCCTCATGCATCTCTTCTTTTTTGGCTGAGGATGCAATTGCAGGGTTCATCGGAGGCATGATGACACGCATTGGCTCAGGTTTCCGAGAGACTGACAAGTCTTCCACTTGGTCTTCATCATCTGCTCCATCATTACCACTGCCAGAAAGAAGCAGGTCATTGCTTGCAGGTGCAGGGCTCGGAGTCATACTATTGTGGCTACGAATGTACTTAATTAGACTTGGACTTGGACTTGGTGAATGACCATTGCCATTCTCCCCTGGACTTGATGATGAGTTGCCACTCCTAGCTGAAGAAGCTGCATGAGCAGCTGCAGCCCATGGCTTCTCGATCGCCAAGCTCACGCTTCATCCCATCCAGTGCATGTTGCAGAAACAAAGGTTCCATAATTGTGCCACTTGGAGATGGGTTCACCATTTGTTCTTCCCCTTCTGATATTCCTCCTCCACTCACACCAAAAACTCCACCCAAGGAATTACTTCCCACCCCACCATTACCTCCACAGCTACTGTATGGAAAATAGCTACTTCCACCAGTACTTACGTTGGAACTACGCTTGTTGAATGGTCGACTTGTAGTGATCCCCATTTTTTTCACTTTGTCATACAGTGTGCGGCTAGGAACGCCGTATTTGCGAGAAGCTTGGAGAGCAGACATCCCACTGCGAACTGCCTCAATAGCAGACATTATATCATTTCGTGTATATTGCTTGTACCGCTTCCATTCTGGCTTCTGTGTAGGCACATATGTAGCAATGCCAGATGACACACCTACAGAGAACAATCATACAGTTTAACTACAGGTACTCAAGGCCTCCTATTTACTAACTTGGAAACAAAATCAATTACTATCCAACCACATCAATTTCCAACACATTGTTACTCTGTAAAGTCCGAGTACTGTCACAGATAACAATTTATCTTCCTAGCAGCCAAACCAAAAGCTTCATAATTTATAGTCTTCGCTAAATATTAAGATGATTAATTTACGAAATGAGATGGGCATGGCATGCAGACTGCATGGCGTGATGATAAATGCATACAAAATATTGGTTGGAAATCCTGAAGAGAAGAGACCATTTAGAACAACAAAGCATAGATGGGAGAATATTAAGTTGGATTTTTAAGGAAATTGGTCATGGACCAGATTCATTTGGCGAAGGACAGAGACCTATGTTGGGCTATTGTGAACACTGTAATGAATCTTGTGGTTCCCCTAATTTTGGCAATTTCTTGACTAGCTAACTGACTAACACATTCTCAAAAAGGGCTACGCTCCATGGAGTTAGTCATTTAGCCGCCAATGTGAAACAATCTGGATTATAAATCTTGCTGCTAGACTGAGGTGAGAGAGCTTCACATTACAGTAGCATTCTAATAAACCATTAATCATGGAGTTCAAGATCAGCTGGCAGTCTCATAATACGGATTTTATCTCCTATTCTCGTAAGACAAAGCTTAAGTATGCTGTATGTCATAAATGTTTTGTTTCAATTTTCTTGTTTAAATCTACAAAAGTAAATGTACCTGTTATAAAACATGTAATTTCTTAAGGGAATTTAAATGTGCAGGCAAAATGTTTACCCAAAACTAAGTACAAATTCAAGCTTCTGATAGTCATGTAGCATTGAATGACTTTGTTCATTGTTATGAAAGACATTCCATTACACACCATCATTCAAGACTGGTGTGTGTGTGTAGATATATAAGCATTTTCTTATTGCTTTAGAAATTATACAGCTAAGTTCATGAATAATTAGATTTCCTGAATCGTAATCTTATTGATTTTTTCCATCTAACGTACATGCAAATCTACTTCTAAATTCCATAAATAATCAATATATTCCAGATAGTCAGACCAAAAGAACAAAGGACATCTCTTACCACGATTCAGCTGTCTATAAGTAAACCAATGTTTACAGTTCTATCATACTTCTCTGCCCACCAGAGCTTAACTCCCATTTATAAATAAGAAGTTAAAAATTCTGTCTTACCTCGGACATCGCCCGGGAAGGACTGGGACAGCATTATCTTGTTATTCTGAGGGGGAAAAAGAAGCATCAATTTTACAGTAGTTAGCAAGCATATGAATTCTTCAGTAGTATTTGAACATAAGTTGTATTTGAACTGAAATTGTTGGAACTGCACCTGCTAATTCATGATGTACAAGACTGTGGTTTGATTTTGATAAATTTTAAAATATCCTTACTGGTTGTGTATTTTTTTCTTCTGTGCTATGAACCATTGAATGAAATTCAATGAAAATCTATCAGTCAATACTTATTATGCAGGGGGTATGTTGTTTCCTTATATAAAAAAAGAAAAACAGGCTAAAAGGAGTGAAAACTAAGAATAAGTTCCAAAAGATGTTACACTTAAAGGAGATAACCGTTACTCATTACATCCAGCGCACTAAGTCCAGTGGCATACCTTTTCACTTGTCTCCTCATCCATTATGGAGATATCAGTGAAGGGGGAACGGGCCTCATCTAACGATGGTTCTGTTTTCAAATTCTGCAAAATATAGGGATACAACATAACACTTATACATTTGTATGACCTTGATGTTATTACACTCTATGTCATATGTAAGATCACTTCATAATAAGATACATTCAAAGACTAGCTCTGGGAACCCCGCAGCCTCCAGTCAAGGAAATTTAGCATAGTGACTTAACATACGCTGTGGCCGCCTTCTAATTCATCTCTCATAGTCATCCTTAACTAAGAAACATGCACCTACAGCAGTGATATGAAGACTAAATCATTCCAGTTTCTTAAATAACTCATTGCAGTTCAAAATCATGGTCAGCACTGTACCTACAGTTTTGGGGAAGTGGGTGTTGCCAATATACTAAAATATAATCCTCTAAGGTTTGCAATTATATTGCACGGTTCCTATTGTCTGCGACTGGCAGATACTAGTGAAATGCCCATTAAAATTTCAATGTGAAGTTAAACTAAAATAATTCTCTTTTAAAGAAGTGTTCGATTAAGTGATTGTGAATTATATAAATATGTATATGTGTAAGTAGATTGTGCATTGTTTGAAAATTGAGTCATTCTTGGAGTAATACAGAACTGGGAAAATTAATCTTTACTGGTAACTGTAATTTCAGTGACAGCTCACCATTTTATTTTATTTATCTTAATTTTATTTCTTGTAGCAGAATACATTTAACTTTTATAACAGTAATAAAGTACCTAATCTAATAAGTCAAGGGGATGGCAGTCAAAACATCAGTGATTTAATTACAAACCGGCAAACTCTGCTTCAACTGAAAAGGGGATGAATGTGTTTGTGTAAAGACTGGTGTTTGTCTTAAAACTCCATGACTGCCACATAGTGAACCTATCATTAGTCATGATAACGATAACATTTCCCAACATCTATGCTGTGTAGGTGTTGTAAGTATTGATCTTACCTTATCAACATCATGTGCAGATCCATTGGAATGGTTGCGTTCAATATGACTATCTGCCTGGCATACAAGAGACATGGGCTGAGATGAATCTGCTTGTCCCTGTGATCCTTGTTGACCTTGCTGTCCCTGTCCCAGTACTGTGCGCAGAATGGGTGTATCCCTACTCATCAACAAACCCTGAAGTTTCTTCCGTTTCAGTGGGGACATGTCTGTCGCACCAGCAGCCTCATAGCAGCTGTTAAGCATGGCAGCAGCAGACGTGTGTGGGTGACTAGGGGCTGGCACAGGGGAAGGATGGTGTGGTAGTGGTAAACCTGGCACGGCCCACATCGGGAGGCTCATTCTTCCGCTACCACGCTCCATCACAGGAGACTTCCCGTACAGATTATAGGGGTTCTTTTCAAATGGAGGACCTGGTATTCCTGATGAGTGGGGCGGCGAAATGTTGCTGCTGCTGTGTGGAAGAGGAGACGCATTTACTGTCGAGGTACTAATGCTGGGAGGGGAGTGGGCAGAAGAGGGGTCATCCTCCCTGTGTCGTTCAAGTTGATGTTGATGCTGATGGTGAGGATGTTGATGCTGCTCAGCAGGATCTTTGGAAGGACTTGCGTGAGACAAGGATCCTCTCTCCTCTACAAGGCCTTTAACTTTCAATGCTTCAGCAACCTTGAGTAGTTCCCCCAACTGGTCCTGAGCAACATTTACCTCTCCACGATACATGTACTCAAGAATTGCCTTCATCTCAGAATATTTTACATCCTTGAGTACTACAACAGGATGCCTGCATGGGAGTTCAGTGAAAAGAGACTGAAAATAGGATGAGCATGCTGCCAATACCATTTTGTGGCACTTGACAGAAGTACCACCCTCACAAGCCAGGGTCACATCTGTAAATGCTTCATTGCGGAGGAGTTCATCAAACACAGCGAGCAGATTGGATCGATGGTTGTTCCACCTGAGGCAGTATTGCTGTGTTGCGCTCCCCATCTTGTTGCTAGTAAAAGGAGCCGTACCGAAACGGCTGAATTTCCTTCAGAAGCAATCCACTGCTGTTACGTCAGCAGTCTGCTCCAAATCAGCAAACACGATGTTGAGGTAGTTGAGTCTGGAGGCAGAGTAAACAATCATATTCAATAAAAATAGAACACAAATATGTTCTCCTCTGAATCCAAAACAACCAAATGTTTTGACAAAATTCTACTGATGATTGGATGGCCAAGTGTTTCTTTTGTTTCAGAGGAAGGACCGTGCTGTACTATTTTATGAAGTATATAAAAAGGAAGTTGATGCAAATATTGTAAATGCTAACTGCTGAAGTATTTTCACATCATAGTAGCTCATACGTGCACATACATGGTCTGTAATATTCATCATTTTCACATCATAGTAGCTCATATGTGCACATACATGGTCTGTAATATTCATTTGTTTAACTTAATATGGACTGTTTTAATAAGGAAAGTTATTTATGAGTAATAGCAAGGGAGGAAATGCACTGCTGTATTTTATTTTCAGCTTGCCAAATGTAAAGTTTCTGTTCCTTTTGTTTACTTGTACTATGAAAAGTATTTATGCAGTAGGAAGGTTTAGAGATATTTAGGATGATTGTATTTGTTCGTTTTCCTGTGACAAAAGCAAATCTATAAAGTGTTGTAATGAAATTACTGAAGAAATTATTTTAGGCATTTTTAGAGACTGTTAGCCCTTTGTGATGACACGTGATATGCATATCCAGACTGATAAAACTGCCAGCCAGCTAAAACATGGCTATCAGCATAAACCACATTTAGAAAATATACCTACATATTAGTATCGACAAAAGCAAATCTAGAAAGTGTTGTAATGAAATGACTGAAGAAATTATTTTAGGCATTTTTAGAGACTGTTAGCCCTTTGTGATGACATGTGATATGCATATCCAGATTGATAAAACTGCCAGCCAGCTAAAACATGGCTATCAGCATAAACCACATTTAGAAAATATACCTACATATTAGTATATATATGAAAATAGTAGGCTACTGTTATTTGGCACATAAGATTACATTTTACTGTCAGCATCACAGATCCAGTGCCACCAAATTTAAGATCTGTGCTGGTATAATAATAATGAGTATTTTCAAAGTATAGACAGGATTAAAAGTAGTCTCTAAAAGGGAAAAATTCTTCGTGAAATAAAGTCATCGATACTAAAGTTCATACTAACGAGACTGTGATAAAATTCAAACAACTGCAGTACATAATTTCACCTATATGACTTTAGGAAAGTATAATTGTAATTTAAAAAAAAAAAATTCAGCATGATACTGAAACTGAAATTCTAAAATAACTTGCAATATGAAAGTTTAAAGCACAGGTTCTCATTTTCCCACAAACATTTTCCCCTCAGTGCTACAAAATAATTAATATTCTCTCACAAGGATAATAATATTGTACGCTTATGGTCAAACGTCTTCAATCCAAATCCTGACTGTAATAAATTATATTACCTGAACAAAGCAATGTAATTAAGTCATAACTACCACAGTAACACACACCAACTTGTGGGCCATATTTTGATGAAGCCAATGGATTGCAACTTATAAGCCCATTTACATATATGTTATTCCCTTAATCATTAAATATTTCCCTTCGGCAAAAACTGAAGTTGCCACCTTAAAGGAGGAGCCACCAATCAGCACAAACAAATCCAACTCACCACCTACTGTCTGCTCTATATAAAATTCCCAACCATTACATACTCATCCTGAAGATGGCAACTGCACTGTTTGCCGAAACGTTTTATAATTCTCCGGATCAACGTTGTTAAACACAAAAGAACTGCTTAGATCAAAAATGTAATTTTATGTAATCACAGATCAATAAACTGCAACTAAGTATTAATTAGAACAAATGGAATTGTTCCCATCACAGGTTTATTCTTTAAACCGGAACATCACTCGACATAAAACGTAACATTTATCTGACACATATCACAGCAGACAAGTTTAACATTTTGGATACAGAACCTTATTTTCTTAACCATAAAACATGTTGGTGACGACAGACTGGGCATTGTTGTGCGCAAAACATTTGAAATAGTGTCTACACATACAATTTTCACAAATCATTGTAGAACTAAGATGTAATAATTCGAAATTAAAAATATGCCATGTGATTGCCACAGAGTTGCAGCATATATTGAATTTTAGTACTGTAGTAGAATCTGCCCTAGTTTATAACCACTATAATCCCCGTCTTATAATTACAATTAACTGAAGAAAAATATGGCATGAATGAAGCACCGATGCCAACATTCAGTTGCAAGTTAAAACAAACGTACATGCACGCTGGCCCATAATTCGCTCTTGAATGCAAATTTTCAAAGTAATGGGGACACTTCTTCCACTGACACGACCTCTATAATCAAAGTTCAAAAGTCGGAACAGTACCGACAGTCCCAATGTAGACACACGGAAATTATTTTTTAGGTGAGGCCTTCAAAAATTAAAAAAAAACACGTAACTTGTGGTACTAAACAGAGAAATTCATGATATTACGCAGATAATGGTTTTAATGAGCGAAATAAATAATCGAGTTTCGTAAACATATTACCCGCAATAAAAATTTACAGCTGAATAGAAGGTATATCTGAATTTCAGATTTTATGTACATACAAAATCGGGTTATGTCATTTTTACGTACACCACATAAATAATTCACAGCTGAAAATTATACCACAAAGACAATAGTTCTAGGGAAAAAAAAGTCAAGCGTTTTACTTTGTAATTTCCAATTTGTATCATAACTTATTATAAATATATTCGTAACAAATCATTAATACCGAAATTGTTTCAAAGACTAAAATTATAACATGTACCATAAAAGTTTCAGCAATATAATTTCATTTTCACTTCACGAAAACAATGCCGTAACATCCGCGAAATGAAAACTTCCGAGTTCTTATTTGAAATTAATAAAAAACACCCGCACTATGAGGGCTTACGTAATGGTACATAAGGGCATGATGTGTTCGTAATGGCGGTCCTCCGGCTGCCAGCCTTCGCACTCACACAGCACGCACTAATACCAGAACGAAACTGTGGCCACATCACAATAACATTCCTTAATAACTCATCACAACAAAAACTGCCCTTATTCTTTTGCACCGCCTCTTCCTATTGCCAACAACAAATCAGCGTGTGCGAAAATACAACGGGGTGTTCCCTGATCGTCAGACACTTCAAGGTCAATGGCAAATTGTAAGGGATTCCTATTCTTTATTTTTTTCAATACCGCAAGGCACCCTTATAGCTAGCCGCCCCAGACGACTGCCAGACGGAATATCTAGACTTTTCCCCACCCCGTTCCCCTCTTCCACAGAGTCGTGCTGATTATTTTTAATAGCAAGGACGAAAGATCAACCCTATTTCGCAGTGTCATCCTTCGGCAACACAAATCAGCACACCAACAACACATAAATATGAATACACACATCAATATTAATAATTTCTCATTTTGTACCCTTACCTTGAGCAAAGCCCACCTGCTATCCGGGTTCCTCACCAACCCACCAAACCACTCCTGCCTTCCCTTCTCGTCTGCTGGTCAACAACCTTGCAACTCCCATCTACCCTCCCGAACCTTGTGTTGGTGCTGCCATCTTTACACGAAGTTTGCGACCTACTGCCGGATTGTGCGTGTGGTCCATGAACATTGGGGCGGGTCATTCGAAAATGTTTCGGTAATAAAATTCTATTCTCTTTCTACGCACATAATTTATAAGAAACACACAGAATCCGTAATTCAAGTTTGCTGTATTTTCCAAAGGAATCCTGAAATTTCCAACAGTAATTTAATTTTTTCACTCGACCTAACGCGCGTACGTCCTTGAATCACATAAACACTAGGACATCGGGTTCGAGTCCCACTCAAGGCAAGGGTGTTGTCCGCTGTCTCGTGTGCATACCTTGCTGTAGTTGAATCCTCTGTCTACATTTTTCATACCAAATATGTTGATATTTCATAGTTTCCAAATTAATTCTCACTCGGAACAGGCACGAATGCTGAACAAGAAGAATATCATTTTGGCCAATTTATAACGTTAAATCGTATTATTTGTCAGGTATTTTTGGAATGCTATTACATTGTTTTGCATGAATATGTTCTTTCCTGATAAAAATGTTCTAAACGCGAAATTCGTAGTAGCACTATTTCATAGTCCATTCTGATAAAATCTGCTCAAAATCTGTTTTTCTTAAATGTCAAGTCATATTCAATAACCAAATTGTAACTTACTGGCAGAGAAAATGTTATTTTTAAGTCTGAAATACGTTTAGGATGGTACATTGCAGATTTTGCGAGAAAATCTGTATGAAGCAGAACTGGAGTTATACGAACCACTTCTGTGATTTAATTTAACTGAATTTGAGCACCTTATGGCGACAGGTGTAATTCTTCAGCTTACATAGGACATGTTTGGCCTAAACAATAGGACTACAGTATCAATCCAACCTATTCCTGCATTAGAACATTTAGTAAGGATATTTCTGATTAGAAATAAAATATACCAAATAATATAGTCAAATGTACAGGGGACAATAACTCGCGAATTTAATAATAAATATAAAATTCACCAAAATACTATTTCAGGCCATAAAAGACTCCGTTACCAAGGAAACGCGAGAACGCCATTGATATTAACTTACCTGGCCGCAGAGGAGGGGAGAGGTGCTCAATGGTAATGATTGTCGTAGCGTTGTATGAATAGAACCATTTCCTCAATTACATATTCTGCTCATTTTAATGCACGACTGTTTGTTTCTCATCAACACGACACCTGTTTTATACGAAAACTTTCATTGAATTGGAACAAAATGCGAACAGCACCAACGCACTCAACAGAATATTATAATTTTAAAAATACTTTATAGATAACTTCCTTTGCTACTCCCAACTTCTCGACTCTATCCCTCCGACTGCCTGCGTTCGTCCGGCCACGCGTACACGCACGAAAAACGCACTCACGCGCACTTTTTTCACGCACGCTAGTCTCGCCTAGAACCGAAACTACATTAACTTGGTGCTACGCAAGATATAACGCTTTTTTAACTGTCCTTTCCTCCC